ACACACACACACACATATATATATATATATATATATATATATATATATATATATACTAAGTAAATATGAATAGCAATTTGTTACACTTGTGTATATTTCGCCGATTAAATCTCCATTCAAGTAAAAAACGCACCACCACCACCTGTTCGCAATTCCGCATGCGGCTCACGAGTGTTTTCAAGAATATACCATACTATCCGCTTTCATTCAGCCCTAAAATTGAAATTAAATGCATACGAAAGCAATGTGAATTTTTCCACGCAAGGTGGAACTTTTGGACTCATACCTTGAATTAAGTTGCACTTGGACTACCGAGAATTCCAATATTATACTGGGCCATCGGTAGTCTAGACCATTTATTTGATCATTTGTAGTTGAACGGTCACTACTCGAGCTAACACATACATGGTAAGCACCAATTGACGTTGTCATACATGTATTTCCCCCCTGGAGGCCTTCAGTTTCATCAGCTTTCCGATCATAGATCAAACGTGTAGTAGACTCCCGATCATTGGTAGCTATCTTTCCAAGGCAACACTCCGTGTGGTTGAAAGCGGCTGACTGTTTGTAGATTTGAATCCGTGGGAACTTTACGTCAGCGTAGTCGAAATGACTATCGTAGTTCAACAGACTATTGCTATTAACAAACAGAAATATGAGACATACAATAGTCAACGAACTGCACGCCCACCACACACGTAACGCCATAACCACTCTATTCAATCTCGTTTCCGTCGTACAGCGCACAACTCTAACTTGACTTCACCCTTTTGTTGTTGGCATTTATATTTACATTTTTTCATAAAAGAAATAAAACACGTCTCCGACAGTGCAAAAAGGCAAAAGCGTGACAGACAGACGGAGATGTCAATAAAATCTGGAGGGACTTCAGAATACGCCTTCAGTGATAAAATTTAGTGAATAAATACAATGTCGCACAAATTAAAAATAAATACCATAGAAACAGCTCAGTGAGTTGATTCGCGCTTTTTGACGGGTACAGTATTTGAGAATTCAAGATTCGATGTTTAAGATCCATTAGAGTACACAAATAGGCTCTGCATATGGATTCGAAATCCGGAGAAATCATGTGATCAATTTGTCCTTCGGACAATAGTTCGATCAATTATATTATGTTATATCTTCTCTAGAGGGTCATGATCAATTATATTATGTTATATCTTCTCTAGAGGGTCATGATCAATTCTTCTCTTGTGTCCGAGTCTCTGAACTTCTGGAGTCAAGTCTCAACTCTTGAGTCTGAGAGACCGAGACCGTCTCTCAACTTGTGCTTTTTCTTTTTTTATAAAAAAGTTCCAAGTCTCGTCAAAGGTTGGAAGTTGGAGTTGGAAGTTGGAACTTTGAAGCAACCTCATAACGTTTCCCGTTAGAATGTAAAAGAAAGAAAAAAAAAGCAAAAAAGGGTTTACGTTAAAAGTTTATCCTCTAAATATAGTATACTCTACATATTTTATAAATATTTTCATATAAAGGCAATATTATGTTTGCTTTGTTTTGTTTTTGGCATATTTACGTATTTGGTTTTGTTTTTCAACTATATATAGAAAAACCAAAACAAAACGGAACAAATAAACCATAGTCTGGCCCTGGCGGCCCTGGGTTCTATTTTAATTTTAAAATAAGAACAAATATATATAAATGTCTCCTTCGTTTTCTTTAAAAAAACAAATAGTGAAAACAAAAACAAAATGAATATTTAGAAGGCAAAACAGAACAGAGAGTATTTGAACACAAAATGCCAAAGGCACACATAGGAGTAATATTTATTTTGTTTTTATTTTTATAAAAACAAATCCCACAATATTTTAGTAGGGTAGGCTATGACAACAAACCCTATATTATAAAAAATATATATTGCGCCCTCGTTCCCCCAAGAGTCTGAAAATTCCCTGTTGTTTTGCTAATCATCTTTGGATTCCCTGATTGTCATTGTACGATTTGAAAAGCGTTTTATTTGACATTCTCTTGGCCGTTACTCATAGTAGTGGACGCTGCGTTTGTATGACTTTATTGGCCATTCTTATCTATCTGTCCCATCACATCTGCCTTCAGGTCGACTAAAGTATGGCTAGCGCCAGACAATCGTTTAGTCGTATTCCCTGTAGTAACAAATGCTTGGTAGCAAAAGCGCCCCGCCGCGATTACAGGCAGTGGGTTTGTTCCAACGATCTTTCGATCTTTCATCAACAGATTATTTCGCTTGAATAGCGACAAGGATCTTATGGTCTGTTTATACTACCTTCGTCCAAACATCCAAATTAAGCCAGAATTACAATGCTCCCCAGTAGCCTCGCTTGGGCCAAATACGCTATGCGTATATATCATCCAAAGGGGACTTATGGCACTGGGCTACCAAACAAGGAGTTGTATGTATCACTACTTGTTGGAAGTAAGGAGCAAGCACACCCACAGGGATCAAACACTCTGAGTAGTGAGTTTGCACCGCCATCTCCCATGGCGACCACCGACTGTCTATCCGTCGGTTCCCCAGCAGGGCGGTCCGTGTAAACGCATCGATCCTGTGCTTCTGGACACACACCGGTGCATATACAGCCATTTATACATAAGGGTGTCACGCAGATTGATTGGGAGCGCATGTGTTCAACGGTGATGTTCTCAGTCGCTATAACTGTGCCATAGACTGGTCGATAGTCGGCGTGACGGCTCCCCTAGTGTGTTGACAACTTGGAACCCTAACACAACACGGGTGTCACGGCCAGTGACAGAAGGGTGTCAAACGTTGGCCCTTCTGCAAGCCCCTGCATACTATCCCTGATGACTCCTTGACGAGACGCTTTGGGTCATCACAAAATACCATTCGTGTAGTACTGCGAAGAACGCGGGCAGAATGTTATGTGAGTACAGAGTGCAGAACATCTCCCACTCAGGTGCAACAAATCAACTGTGGCAATCTTTATTTTTGGAACAGGCAGATACAGTTCAGTAATATTCAAATAAGCTATAAATAGCATATACAGAGGGTGGGTGCGATTACAGAAAAAATATGCTATACAGAGTGTGGGTGTGCCTACAGTACAATATGCTATACAGAATGTGGGTGTGCTTACAGTACAATATGCTATACAGAGTGTGGGTGTGCTTACAGTACAATATACTATACAGAGTGTGGTGCGCTTACCTGGTAGTTATCATACAATACAGTGGACATGGCATCCAGAGACCTGTCCACCAACCCATTCACCAGTAGTTTGAGATTGTGTTCAGTCTCGGAGTGAAAAAATCTGGAGACGATGTGAAGTGCAAGTGAGTCGTTGTCTATTAAGTATACAGGCGATTTCGTCAGGTTGAAAAGTTTAAAACCGTAAGCCTTAGACCCTCAACGCGACTCTAGACCCTAGACCCTAGACTCTAGACGCTAGACGCTAGACGCCAGACGCCAGACGCCAGACGCTAGACGCTAGACGCTAGACGCTAGACGCTAGACGCTAGACGCTAGACGCTAGACGCTAGACGCTAGACGCTAGACGCTAGACGCTAGACGCTAGACGCTAGACGCTAGACGCTAGACGCTAGACGCTAGACGCTAGACGCTAGACGCTAGACGCTAGACGCTAGACGCTAGACGCTAGATGCTAGACTCTAGACGCTACACTCTAGACCCTAGTTGTGCAAGACTTCGATTCAATCAGTTCCGGGTAGAAATGGGCGAGAGAGTTCTGAGGTCTCTTGTGCGAGACATATTCTGGGGTGAATGAGATCTCTAGTGCCACACCAATGATACTCCGGTGTGGGCCAACAAATGTCAAGACGTTCGTAGATAGCAGACACAAGCGTATGAAGACTAGTGTAACATCGTGCACTTCTCTACGCAAGCGCCATGTCCTGACACGAACACATTCACAGCCCACCAATACAAACAACCCCACGTGATAGCTATCGGGAGACGTGCAGGAACGCAGACGCCTTGTTTGCGATAGTACTAGTACAATGCGACAAACCTTTCCTTCATCAACCGACGGCATTCGAGACCCGCCACAAAGCACGGCAAATCAGAACCTGCAGAAACACATATCATATCAATACGCAAATCAGAACCTGCAGCGAAACACATATCATATCAATACGCAAATCAGAACCTGCAGAGAAACACATATCATATCAATACGCAACTCAGAACATGAGGAGATACACATATCATATCAATGCGCAAATCAGAGCCTGCAGAGAAACACATATCATATCAATACACAAATCAGAACATGAGGAGAAACACATATCATATCAATGCGCAAATCAGAACCTGCAGAGTAACACATATCATATCAATGCGCAAATCAGAACATGAGGAGAAACACATATCATATAAATGCGCAAATCAGATCATGCAGAGAAACACATATCAT